TTCAAGGATACTTCATTTTTATCAAAGGCTTAGAGTTCTTGTGAACTAAAATTATTGGCCTTTATGGGATTTTCATGGTTAACCGTTTCAACTTTCCACATATGGTCTCAATCTATTAACCTCCAAAAATGTGTCAACAAGTGTCGACCAAAATGATGTACACGTGGACGTATTCTTCAATATGTTGATTGTAAACTTAAACACATGTTCAATTACTAATCAAATGTGATGAAGTTAATAAGCAAGATAAGCACTTGTAAAAGATAAAGTATATAATAGTGAGTGGGTTTATGTAAAGAGAAAAATACAATGTTATTTTTCATGCATGGAGATTCATCCTCTAAAAATGTTACAAAGACTGCTATTTATAGTAATAAGGACAACGTTGTCGCTGTTGAATTAGATCTGCTTGGCCTCATCTGCTAGGTCATGGTGTCGCGTCATCCTATCTCATATTAATTACATTGACAGACATTTGACAAGGGGTCAACCGCCTTACACTTCTAGGCTGATATTTTTGACATCTATTTAATGAGGATATTACATCAATCAGCCCTAACGATACGCCTATCAGACCCATTTTTGAAAGTTATGGACTTTGGATGTGAAGGGGTTCGACAAAAAGGAGAAAACCACTTCGGCAAAGAAAGGAAAGCACTTCAGTAGTTGGGCCTCGGTTATTTGAAGAAGAACACTTCGACAGTTGGGCTTCGGCCAATATTCCTTTCTTTATCTAATTAATGCGAAGTATGTGCACACAGGGCTTCCACATGTTCCAATCATATATGGTCAAAAACAAAAATCTTAGCAATGCATCTCACATATTTGAAAAATACATTTAATTGCTTTCACTAGTGTAATTGATAATTTAGGGACTAGTTAGAAAAATTACAGCAACTTGTTTGCTTAAAGTTGCAACTAATACATAGTCCTTATATGTTCGACACTTTATTCACTACTTTATTACTTGATCACGTTCCCATCCACTTGCGAAAAATCAAATAATCAAATTTTAATGAGAACAATGCAATCTTATCAACATAAAACATCAAACTTTATATATCGATCATGAACCATATATTTTGATCACGTCACACATTGTGTCTCATTATGCTCGAACCATCAAGTATCGTATATGATTATGGAACTTTAAATTATTTGCTACAAATTAAACTACGAAAATTCAAATATTACTTCATAATGTCGTTTACAAATTATTACTTGACGGGCATCAAACTAACATAAACTACCCTACATATAAATACACAATGGTTAAAATTCATCTGATTAAGGACACAATCTATATGATAATTTGAAATGGGCAGCCAAGGGAATACTGATAGTCTTATCATTTAGCATATTGAACCTTTGAAGCACCTTCTCAATGCAACCCTTCTGACTCAAGTACAATCTGCTAGCCTTTCTATCCCTCAAAATTTCCATACCAAGAATTTTCTTTGCTGTACCTAAATCTTTCATCTCAAAGTCATTACTAAGTAGAGATTTACCTTCATGACCTCTGTTTTATCCTTGATTGCAATGATCATGTCATCAGCATATAATAACAAATATATAATCGATCTATCATCTTCCTTTCTGAAGTACACACAAATATCATAATTACTTCTATGACTACTTTAATCTACAAATGAATCAAACATTTTACACCACTACCTCGGTGACTGCTTTAGTCCATACAATGACTTGTTCAACGAGCACACATAGTTTTCTTTTCCAGAAACTATAAAACCCTTTGGTTATTGGTTGTAAATGTACTCCTCAAGCTCTCCATGCAAAATTGTTTTCTTAACATCCATCTGCTCAAGTTCCAAGTCATTCTTTGTCCTATCCCAAGTAAATTCTAAATTGAACTATGCTTTACAACCAACGAGTACATATCAGTGAAGTCAACACCACAATCTAACGGTAACCTTTTGCAATCCATCTAGCCTTATACCTAGTATCTTCAATCCCTGATGTCCTTTCTTTCGTTTTAAACTCCCACTTGCAATGGACTATCCTTTTATTCTTAGGTAGTTTCACCAAGTCCCAATTATAATTTTTATTTAATGACTCAATCTCCTCCTACATAACAATCAACCATATGCAAGAATCACTGCAACTATCTTTGAATATGTAGCAGGCTTATCGACGACATCAATATTTTGAGCCATACTCAAAGCATAAGCTATCAAGTCTCTTTCTCCATACTTCTGTGGAGGTTTAATCTATCTGCAAGGTCTATCTTTAACAATTGAATACTGTGGTGTTGGTGCTATAAGCAAGGTAGGCAAAGTATTATTGTCTATCAATTCTAAACTAGACTGTTCTATAATAGACTATTCTGAAACCTCTTATTGTTTTTCTGGTAACTCCACCTGAGTTGAATGATTCCATTCTTTATTTTTATCAGAATCTCCACGAAGTTAATCATAAACCATAGTAAGTTCACCAAATACTATGTCTCTACTAACACACCACTTTTCTTATTTTAGGTAGGACACTACAATTTATACACATTCACACCTGATTTTTACCCAAGAAAGACAGACTTTCTAGACCTAAACTCCAACTTTCCATTATCAATATGAGCATAAGCAGGACACTCAAAAATCTTCAAATCAGTATAGCAAGAAGGTTTACCAAACTATATCTCTTCTAGTGTCTTTTTCTCAATGACAATCAGAAAACAATTTTTGGCAGTAACTTTAGCCCAAAAAATCTCAGGCAACCCAGAATTTGAGAGCATACAACAAACATTTTTCATCAAAGTTCTATCCATTCGATCTGCCACACCATTTTGTTGAGAGTTTCGAGCATTGTTAAGTGTCTCAAGATGCATTCAGCCATGTAGAAGTTATTGAATTCATCTAAACAAAAATCCAACTCATTATTAGTATGTAGACTTTTAAGCTACTTTCTAGTCTACTTTCCTATCATTGTCTTCCATTCTTTGAAGGTCTCAAACATATCACTCTTCTATTTTAAGAAAAATACCCAAACTTTCCTAGAGAAATCATCAATCATGTCAACAGATAATAAACAACACCTCTTGAAGGTACCCTAGCCAATTCCAAAATATCTAAATGGATATATTCAAGTGTTCCCTTCGCGTTGTGTCTTCCTATAGTGAATCTGACTCTTTTCTATTTTTCAAAGACATAGTGCTTATAAGATTTCATTTTAGTGGTCTTCTGCCCATCAAAAAGCCCCATCTTACTCAATTCTGCCATACCATTCCACTTATATGTCCAAGTTGCATATGTCAAACTTTAGTAACTTCTTCATCAATCAAAGAATAAGTAGAGACTATTGTATCTCCTGTAACTGTAAAACTTACCAAATGTACAATTGTGTAGAGTTTTTCTGTCTCTTCAAGACAACAAGAGCACTTCGACTTACTTTCAAAACTCCATCTTCATTAGTGTATTTATGACCCTTTGAGTCAAATATACTCAAAGATATGAGATTTTGCTTCGGTTCTGGAATGTGCCCGACTTCTATAAATGTTCTGATAATACCATCAAACGTTTTGATTATGACTGTACCAATTTCAACAATTTCGCAAAGCGTGTTGTTTCGTATAATCACTGCACCTCTCAAAACACCTTCATATGTTATAAGCAAGACCCTGTTAGGCCACATAAAGAAAGTATAAGTCAAGTCAAGAACCCACTCCTTACAAGGTTTGGAATCCATGCCAGAAATCATAAGAAACTCTTTTTCACTTTGCATGTCTTCCACAACATCACCCTTCGCTATTTTAACATGTTGCTTTTCTATTTCAATAGCACTAGTAGCCTTATTCCTCTTTTTTCAAAGAATAGCAATCATCTCTGATATGTCCATTTTTCTTATAGTAATAACATACTTTTTCTGCATTCATATTCCTACCAAAATTCTTATCTTGATTTCTTTCAGGAACAACTTGGCCTTCAGCCTGACTCCCAGAACCTCCAGCAAGATGTTCAATCTTTTCCTTAGATAGTGAAGCATCATACCACTTTCATAGTGAGAGTATCCTGACCATAGAGAATAGTATCAATAAAAGTCCTCCTCATCAACTTAACCTCCAATATCTCCAAATCAAGCCATGATTTCTTTGAACATAATTAAGTGATTATGCAATGACGCACCTTCGAACTTCAGTGATATTACAAGTGCTGTTTCAAGTATAGCTTGTTGGTCAAGCTCTTGTCATACAAAGTTGCTCCAACTTCACCCACAATGCAACGACACTTTTCTCCATGAGAATATCCTAGAGAATTTAATTTGATAGATGTAGATGAATTTGGAATTGGCCTTTTCGATCCCTACATTTTTTTCATCCTACGTTCAGGTTGAAGGCATCTTATCAAAGCTAAGCAAGGCTTCCTCCAAATCTATCTATGCGAGAACTGTTCTCATCTTCATTTGCCATAAAAATAAATCTTTTGTTTCGATCTAATAACAGAATATCATATTTCATAGCTTCCTTATGGAATAATCAACCTTGCTTTGATACCACTTGTTGTAAATTGTTCGTAAGATAATGACAATAATGAAATAAACAAGAATAAATTAAGAACACCAAGATTTACGTGGAAACACAAAACAAGAAAAAACTACGAGCAGAGGATGAGAAATTCACTGTAATCAATAGTAATTATTTACAACAAAATTTCAATGCTTTCAACTAAGATTTAAAGGTCTCAAGATGTTGTATAAATGTTATGTTGACAATACAAGTTGTAACTTATATATAAATATCCCTAAAAATCAAGTTGTAGATGAATAGGAATCCAAATACCTTAAAATGCAAAATTCGAAAAAACCCTGTTGCTCAAGAGACATGCAGACGAAAAGTCTGTGTTGAAAAATCTCAATAGTAATTATTTACAACAAAATTTCAATGCTTTCAACTAAGATTTAAAGGTCTCAAGATGTTGTATAAATGTTATGTTGAAAATACAAGTTGTAACTTATATATAAATATCCCTAAAAATCAAGTTGTAGATGAATAGGAATCCAAATACCTTAAAATGCAAAATTCGAAAAAACCCTGTTGCTCGAGAGACATGCAGACGAAAAGTCTGTGTTGAAAAATATGTTGGTGCTGCTCGAACTGCCATCTAGGAAAAATGTGGTGACTTTTCTTCCGATTCATAACTTTGATCTTTTCAAGACCACTTCAATTAAGATTTCAATACTCACTAGAATTTGGGTCAAACTAAAACACTCTCCTTTAGGTTTCCATTGTTCCTGTAAAAAGAATTTCAAAAATAATAAAAAGAACACATATATGCTTGATAATTAAATCCATAGTGATTAATTTCTCCACCAGAAAAAGAGAGAGATTTGGAATTCGATCTTTTAATCATTCACAAGCAATACATTTACTAAAATATGTATACATATAATCTCACTCTCCCTCTCAAAATAGAAAATGACTATAATGATGAAACCCTTTTTCCTATATAGTCACTTCATTTATTATACAAGCAAATTCCAATATCTGAATCTAAAGTTGAACTCAAAAGTTGATTTAAATTGTCTCCTTCTTCTCTACCCCTTTGCAATATAATCAATCCCAAATCTGAATCATTATTAAGAGCTTCAAAGCTTGCAACAGCATCATCTTGGTATCTATCTCCGTGGCTCAGCTGAGAAGCAACAAACTTGTCAAGATCTCTCCAATCTGCAGTTATCTTTTTTGAATTGCATTCAACTCTAGCCTTTTCATCTTCTTCATTGATGTAATTTTCTGATACTATGGACACCAGACTTGGTTTTTTCATCATTGTCAACGACGGACTTTCTAGCTGTGGAAGTTGAACGAATTGATGATGATCAGCTGATGAATGTACAATATTTAAATTTTTTGCTTCTATGTCTTGCTTGCACATGAAATTCTGGGAATAGTTTGAGGGCTTCCTTGTCATATAATCAATAGAATCCACAACTGAGATTCCGCCACTTGGTTCTTCATAATAGTAGGTTGAGTCCCACCCTTCAATGCTCTTTGTTTGTCCTGTGATTCGCTTTTTAAAAGCTCGGCATACCACCCATCCTTCTTCCTGTAAGATCAAACAAACCTGTTCATCAAAGGCTAAACACTTGCATAATATTTTGCAAACAGAGAAACTGTTTTGATTTGAGCAACAATAATGATGATGAAGAATATGAAGTCAACAAAAACATAAGAATACAGATTTAATTAGTTTGACGATGTAGGGGTCCGGGGGAGGAGTAATGAAATTGTAATTTTGACAAGTTGAAACAGTGAAAAGCACACCCAAGAAAAGTGATTCCGAGTAGAATGCATTCATTTGTGAACAAAGTAAAATGACTTTTTGACTTAAGAATGAAATTATCATGCATATACTCAAAGATACTGCATGTAATTAAAGGAACATGCAACGGTAGCACAAGTCTTACGTACCTCTCATAGTTGGGAAAACGGACCATTACTAAATGATGACATTGTAAACATTTTTCTTTAAGTGGATTTACTGTTTAGAAGAAATTTTCGTGTCAGTTTTTAGATGAAATGGCCGTGTTCCCTTGTAAACAATGCAATATAAAAATGATTTTTCTGTGTATGTGAGAGAAAGAGAGAGAGGTTTTGGCTTTCTGTTTCGCCCCACAGTTCAAGAATATGTAGGATAAAGCTAGATGCAGATTATCAAATGAGAATAAAGAAGCTTGCCTGTGGAGGACCATTTTCTTCTGATTCAAGCCTATATTCATGCATGATCCAGTCAGTTTTCTGGCCATTTGGAGCCCTTCCTTTGTAGAATACGAGGGTTTTTCTCATACCAATAAGCTTTGTCTTGAGATAAACTGCCTTGTCTCTTCCTGTAGCCTTCCAAAAACCTGCCATGGTTGCTCTGTTTGTCCTTGTCCCAGTTGGGTACTTCTTATCTTTGTGGCTGAAGAAATACCACTCGTTCTGCTCTTCATATCCGATCCGACATTTGTCTGTCCATAAAAAATTCTTCATCATACTCTATAAAAAACATGGAACCAAGAGCAGCTATGTGTGTATGTATTCGTAGTTTTCAACAAATTGGAGCGGCAGATTAGATTTCAGAAAGCGTCAAGTGTTAAAAAGGTCTATTAAAAGGGCAATTTATTATAATATTCAAGGATACCGAGAATTATATTCGAAGCATCTGGATTTTGGACTATAATTGCTAAGCTTACTTGACTATGTTCATCATCTGATGATCTCTTGTTTGGGAAAATAATTTCTCATATTCTAAGATAGGAAAAAAAAAATGTAGCAATCAGATGTGTTCAAACGCTTCAGTTCAAGAACACATCAATAATAAAACCTTTAAGATCCCATGGTTCGATTCTGTATAGATCAATATCTCTGATAACGTCAAGATCGATCTTCTGTGATGCAACCTTCTTCCTCAGATAGTATCCAACTAGCTCTTCATCAGTGGGATGAAATCGGAATCCAGGTGGAACACAAGACTCCATGGCGTCTAGAAGTAAATCAAGCCTGTTTATGTGTATATATGCTCAGATCTGCATCAAATTCAAACCAAATAAGGTCAAAACCATATATCTTCTTTTATTCATCATCTCTAAATCGTAAGTATTTTTGTGTCAATATAAAGAGCCAAGGTTTATACAGGCCAGAATGTAGATTACCATGAGAAAAAAGTTAATAAAAAATGAATAAGAAAACAATTATGAACCCTACATAAGGTGACAAGTGTTATCAGATATAATCATCAACTCATTTGGTGGTAAGCCACACTTGACATTATATCTCTGAAAGGTAATGAACGCGTGTATAAAGAAATATTTTTTAAAGACTTTTTTTTCCCCTTAGAAAGATAATGATTTATTTATTTTTTTTTTTTTTTGTGTGTGTTTTGTTTTATTAATTACAAGTAGAAACAGAAAGGAATTGGAAAACTAAATGTTGAGGCATTGCTCCTTATGAAAACAATGAGGGCATTTAGCAATCATGCTACATTGTCAAAAAAGTTGATATAATGACACGTGACATTCTATCATTAAAATGTTTAAAACATAGTCAGCTTTTCCATCTAATCATCTTTTGCCACCACTTTATCTATCGCTACATTCTGGCAAAGTAGCATAATCCAGGTATTTAGAAATAGAAATGGACAGGTAATGATGTTGTCTTGTGTTGGTTAATGTGGAAACGACACTTGATTAGCATAATTTAATTTATTTTTATATGCATATGCTCCTGCTGGTCCCAAAAAATGAAAAAACAATGGGGAAAAAGAAAAATACATTAATTTTGTAATACATTTCAGTGGTTTTTTCTCTTAAAATTGATTGCTGTAAGAATGTTGAGTTCAGTGCCAAATGGAGAAGATGGATGACGTTATGCGTATTTAGCACGCGTTTGAATATATATAAATAAAAAGGTTGAGAGACAAAAAGAAGTGAAGCCTGCAGAAAGAGAATGTTTGAAAAAGAAAAAAGAGAACATTTCGAAAGGAATTTACAGGCTGATGAATTCAGATCCTCTTGTCTTCTTGTCTGTTACAAACATGGCAAAGTCTGATTATTTTCTTCCATAGACACAAATATATTAGCAGTCAGTATACCATTTTGAATGCCAAAAGAAGCGTGTGGAAGTGGAAGATGATAGGAAATATTTCCCGGGATCCCTATTCTCTTTGCACTGAAATCATCAATTAAGCAGGCTGAGGGCTTTATCAGTTTTGTCGATAATTAGACAAGCTATAAACATCGAATATGAAGTTTCTCTGCTTTACAATGTTGTCGTCTTGGGTGGGGTGGGGTGGGGTGGGGTGGGGATAAACAGTTTGCAAAAATCATGATCTTCATAAACCATATGAATCAAATAACATGTTGAATGTGGAGGTAGGACCAACTGAAATATTAAAGAAGATGAAAATTGATGTCCTATCTGCAGTGAATAAGATAAAAGCTTCTCACTGTTGGTGTAGCAAGAGAACGTTAATTATGATTTTTTTGAGTATCAGAGAACAATAAGTTCAGTTCTCGTTACGTATGAAACGATTTTATCTCGTCAACTATGGGAAATAGATGAGGCATGTTAAAGATCAATCTTGAAGCAAGACCCGGACTCACACACGCATGTACATATTCATACACATACACATACACACACATAGAGAGAGAGAGAGAGAGAGAGAGAGAGAGAGAGAGAGAGAGTTATTTTTAAAAGGAAGATAATTAAGGTTAATGCAGAGCTGTTGGGGTAGAGTTTTGTGATACTCCATCATCAGTTTACACTTTCATCAGCAGATGGCAATCAAGAAGTGCAAGTCTCTAGTGAATCAAAATCTGTATATGATTTTTTCCTTCTGTTTGTAGGTAGAAGAAACATGAGTATAATTCAGAGGCTCACCTGTAGCACCTAGCTCATATTCTTGGCTGTTTATTGGTGGTAACAGTACAAAACCAATGCAGAAGACGGGAAAATGAAAAGGTGAGAGAGAGAGAGAGAGAGAGAGAGAGAGCGCCAAGGTGTTTAGGAGTGAGAAGAAATAAGTATTAAAGGGGAGCAAGGGGAAGACAAGAGACTATATAGGTCCAGGACCACTCAATTGCGCATGGGTTTGATGGTTGTCCCCATGGCTGACGTCATTATCTAGCTTGCTACAGAAGTGAAGCAGATCCTGCCTAGAGTTTACAAATCAGTACTATGCGAAATCTCTTTATTATTAGCGTCAAATTGAAGGCATTGATGTCATTTAATAGAGATTAAAGTACAAATTTTGTTTCCAATGATTAATCAATAACCCAAAAGAATTGCTTATATAAAATAAAATCAAGAAGAAGGGAAAGAAAAATTAACTATTTATGTTAAAAATCAAGCAATATGAAGGAGAAAGATAAATCTCAATATCTATTAGAGATTACATGTAAGGCTAATTAATTTACAAGAATTTTAAAAAGTCAAAAACTATTTATGATACTAATAAGCTATTTTTGAATATATTTGAATAATTTTCAAAAGGTACTTTATATGACTAGGAGAACATTTAGAAGAAATTAACATAGAATAATTTATTGAGGAATTTTTTTTACAAGGAGCAAAAGTTTTGTCAAACAGACTCTTAGATGTTTTTCTTAACAATGTCTATTTTTCTTTTATCATGTTAACTTGACAAAATTCTAGTCAGATTGCATTTGAGATTATCTTTTAAATTCTTTTGCTTCCGATTTTTTAGCAATCCACGATAATGAAGATATTGTAAAGTACAATTATTTTATAATGGGACCAACTCATTTTTGACAAATAATTGTGACCTTTAATTTAAGTCAATTCAATACTCAATATGTACTTTACTAAGATCATGTGAGAGTTTGTTATAACCACTTAAGAGTCATAAAATATTAAGCATTTGATTGACTTAAACTAAATTTCACGATTATTTATCAAATAAGTGTATTAAATTTATGAATAGGGAGGATGGTTCCAATTTTATAATATCTAATAGTTCATTCTCAAGTGAATGGTTTTTACTAAAAAGATTGAGAAGAAGTTTAAAACATATATTTCATGCCTTTTAATTTGTCTCAATTGAAAAATGTCCTTCCTCAACTTCTTTTGGCCTCATTTGGTGTGGATTAAAATAAAATTTTTAGTAGATTTTGATAAAAGTTAATGAAATATGTTGTTGCAAAGTTTTGAGTCTTGTAACATATGTCTTGAAAAGTGTATTTTGTACATTTATTTAGGTTATTAGATTATGATATATTATAATCTAATTTCATGTATTTATTATTTGTTTAGGTAAAACTAGTGAGTGAAGTGAAATTGGAGGAAAGGGCAACAATGGCTAAAATAAAAGAAATTTAAAGTTTGGAGATCAATGAGTAAATATTCAATAGTTGATTCAAACCCAAAATGACAATTGAAGAAGGCTAGGAGTCAATTGGGTGCAATTAGAAGTCAAATGAGTGAAATATAATCAAATTATTTTCAAAAATCAATTTTCAATCGCATAAGTTATGCTCTAGATCTTTATCCTCAAATTGAAATCTATTTTCGCATAGCAAACGTTCGAATTGGAAAATTGATATTTCTCTATGAATTGTTGCCCTTTGAATTAGCTTTCAAATGCACTTTGAATCCCTGAATTGGATATCTAGAAAGAAAGATAGGATAAAAGTATTGTCAACTGCGCAAAAATATAGTCATGCGTGACATGAAGGAAACTTTCACTATTTGATTGGAATTCTTTTGGAACCAAATTTGTACATGTTTCAAGAACATGGGTAAACATTTAGAGGAGCAATTTCATTATAAGTTGGAGAGGAGAACAAGTCTAGCATGTATTCTTTAATTAAAAAAAAAAAAAGAATTTGTAGAATCAAATCTCAATGTTGATAATCAAGAACAAAAATTAGAATGTGACATCTCTTTATTTATTTATTTATAAATTTTGGGTGTTATTCTTCCATTCTTCTTGTTATTTTATCTTTAGAAATATGTTAAAGTTAGATTCATTTGTATTAGATAAAGATGAAACCTTTATTTATTTATCTTTTAATTCAAAGACAAGTAGTTTATGAATTCTTTTATCTATAAACTAATTATGCATGCTCGTTGCATTATTTAAATGCTTGAGCATCATTTTATTTACTGTAGTGTTAAAAAAGTTTACAATTAAAGAAAACACTATATGATTAATATTCGGGTGATAGATGTTATACTACTGTGTATGTGATCAACTCGATGATCGTATTCTTGAATGTATTATTACCTAGATAATCGTGTAATTGAATGCATTCTATTAATTCAAATTTGAACTAGAAATAAATTCAGGTCATTATTGGAATAGAATTAACTTATCTTGAGAAAGAAAGTTGAATAGAATAGGATTATCAATTGTAAACAATGCATGAAAGAAACTAAATTACCTCAATCATGTTACATGTTTTCTTTTACATCATTTTTTACATTATACCATGTGACGACACATGATTAGACAGTTTTAAAAAAATACACTTTGTTGTTTAAAGCTTTCTGAAATTCCACATTATGTACACAAACTGTAACACATGGAATGTACACTTAGCATAGTTCAAATTACATAATTGAGAATTGAAAATAAAGGAATAATAAGTGGATTCAAAATCTCAATACATATATTTGAATCTGATAACAAGTTGATAATATTCAATTAAAGTTTTATTCTTTGTTTGACGATACTCTTAACTCATCACAATTCTTTGTCCGAACAAGTTTTTTTTGTCATTGTAGGGATGTAAAGTTTTTAAACAGAAATTATTGATTAGTATTGAATTCAATTTTTTTTCCTTTTTCATTTATTTTTATTTTGTTAATTTTGGCAACACACTCTGATATCTTTTGTATTTTGCATTCTTTTAGGTACTATTTAGCAATTATGCAAGATTTCAATACCGGCAAAGGAGTAAAAATTTTTGCAATAATTATCCTGACGTGGATGATAAGAATATGCTTGTAAAAAATATAAATTGTGAGTTTTGTAATGGGATGCATTATTTTGGGTGCTACTTGTATACATGACTAATCACTTGAGGTTCAAGTTTTCGTGATTTAAATAATATTTAAGAGGTCGAAAACAAGGAATTAACAAATATAATGAATGCTACATGCAATTTAGTAAGATCTATCCAAAGTAGAGAGAGTTAAAAGAACTAGTTTGTGGGGGTGTGTATCATAAAAGAGGATGAACTAAATTTTGACCCTTAAGGGTTGAAAATTGAAACAACTTGTGAATTTATGATGTTTTACTTAATTTTTCATATACACATACACATTAATTTGCATTGGATAAGTGAAAATTGATTTTTGTATAGTGATTTTGAAGTTGAATATAACACAATGGTTTCAATCATGAGACTACCAATAAGTGATAAACAAATTTATTGCATTACTTGATTGATAGGCCACTGATTAGGTAATTTTTGTATACTTATGCATTGAGATTGGCTATAGATCTCTTTGAAGACAAATAAATGTTCAAGTTTCGAGGAGTTTGACAAGTATATTTTGTACAAGTTAGGTCATTAAATTTTAATTTTTTGTATTACTTTTGATAAATTATAGCTAATCTCATGTATTAATCGTTTGTTAGGTAAAACTTAGTGAATTAATTTAAATTAGAAGAAAGAAACCAAAAAAGCTAGAATGAAAGAAATCCAAAGTTTGGGAACCAATGCTCGAATATTTAATAGTTGATTCAAAAAAAAAAAAAACAGGGGAAAGAAAATTGGAAAATGCTAGGAGTCAAATTATTTTCACAAATCAATTTTTAGCCGCATAAGTTATGCTCCAAATTTTTAGTCGCGGATCAAGATCTATTTTTCGCATAGCAAATGTTCAAACTGAAAATATGATATTTCTTTCAAAATTGTAGTCATTTGAGTTAGATGCCCATTACACTTTGAATTGTCTCTATTGCATATCGGAAGAGAATGATTTGAATCAAACAATATCAATAACTTGAAGAATCAAAGCTCAAGATTGATTATCAAGAGCAAGAATTAGACTATGAAATCTCTTTCTTGTATTTATAAATTTCAGGTAATGCTTTTTCATTCTTTTGTTGCTTTATCTTTAGAAACATGTTAATCTAAATTCATTTGTATTGGATGAAGATAAGCCTTTATTTATTTATTTATTTTTATTTCAAAGACAAGTAGTTTAAGAATTCATCTGTTTAATGATTAGTTATGCGTGCTCGTGGCATTATTTAAATATTTGTACACCATTAGTGTAATTAGTTGTTTGTTATAGTCCTCGAACTTCACAATTAAGTATAACAGTGCATGATTAACACACGGGCGATAGATATTAGGAAAAATAATATCATGAGTACAAACACCTCAATATTTGTATTATAGAATACGTTATCACCTATATAATCGTGTAATTGAATGCATTGTATATATTCGAATTCGAACAATGAATATAATGGGCTGTGATTAGAATTAACTTAACTTATTTTGAAAAAGAAAGTTGAATACAATAGAATTATTAATTGGCAAAAATGCATGAAGGAAATTAAATTACATAATAGAGAAATAATAGGTGGATTCGGAATCCCAACACATACATTCCATCTTTTATATGAAAAAATTGTCTTTGGTAATTAGCAAATAATTTAGATAAATAAACAAAATCGTCTCTTTTATTATTTACATTTGAATTTAATAACAAGTTGATACAATTCAATTTAAGATTTATTTCTAGTGTGACAATACTATTAACGCATCTCAATTATTACTTGTTAACGATCCAATACGCTTTCGAGAATAGTCCGAACATGATTTATTTAATAATACCTCTCATTTTAATGTCATCTAGATTAGAGTTATAACACCAATGGTGTTAAATAACAATATTTAGCTAAAAATCAAATTTTTAGTAAATCTTCATAAAAGTCCATAAAATTTATGATTGAAAAATTAATAAAATGTTGTGACCCCACGAAATGTATTGT